ATCTATACTATTTCCTCTTTTTGCTTTGTAATTGAGTTCATTAAAAATTGGTATCTCTGGTTCCCTATTTTCTGTCTTATAGGTTTGTTTTACTTTAATTCCTTCTATATCTGGATTGGGAGTCCTGGTGTGGTGCTGTGGGTTAATGTGCTGGACTGCAAAGCCAGTTTGAACTACAAGGTTGGTGGTTCAAGCTTACCAGCCACTGCTATACATCGTCACAATGGGTAAGAATCGACTCAACTGCACTTAACAACAATGACATACCTGAATTGAGTTCTGGGTGGTGTTGTCATGTATGGTAATCTCAAGCTGCTGTATGCTGTTGTTGGTTCTCAATCCAAAGAGCACCCTTTGGTATTTTTTGTCATGTTGGCCTAGTTATTACAAATTCCTTTAATTTCTGTTTATCTGGAAATGTTCTCACTTCACCATCATAGTTGAGGGACAGTTTTGCTGGGTATATGATTCTTGGTTGCTAAATTTTTTCTTTCAGAGTTTGTATGTGTCATCCCCTTGCCTTCTTGCTTGCATCATTTCTGTGGAGAAATCAGAACTTATTGGTTCTCCTTTGTAGGTAACTTTTTCGTTTTTTCCTGAGCTGCTTTCAGGACTCTTTCCTTGTCTTTGGTTTTGGAGAGATTGATTATGATATGTCTTTGTGATTTTCTTTTGGGATTTATCCTGTTTGGGGTTCATTCTGCTTCTTGTATGCTCATCTTCTTTCTTTCATGATGTTAGGGAAGTTTTCTTTCAATAACTCCTTGACAATTTTTTCTGTGCTTTTTTTTTTTTTGGTGTCTTTCTGTTCTGGAATTCTGGTCACCCATAAATTATTCCTCTTCTTAGTGTCCCATATAACTCTTAGGTTTTCATTGGATTTTTTACTTTTTCTGATTGTTCTTCTAGCATACTTGTATTGAGAGATTTACCTTCAAGCTCACTAATGTGGGCTTCCATTGTTTTGAATCTACTCCTTTGACCTTTCAATGTGTTGTCCATTTCTGATATCATAGTATTAATGTTCAGGATTTCTAATTGCAGGTTTTGTATTGTTTCAAAATTTGCATTTATTTTGTGTTTTTTTCTTGTATTGTTTTCCTGAATTCTTCTGAAGTTTTTTTTTTCTTGTGTTCTCCTTCCTTTCCTTGATTTTTCTGTCAATCCTTTGAAGGTACCTAAATGTCATCCTTTTGAATTCTTTTTCAGTTAGTTCCATTGCTTTTTCTTCCTCAGCAATGTTTTCTGCATGCTGGTCATTAGTTTGAGCTATCATTTCTTGTTTCTTCGTGTAAGCTAGAATGATCTGTTTTTTCCTGGGACACTGTGGTGTTGTCATGTTTGTATTTAATCAATGATGGTATGTTGATGTGGAGTCCTGGTATAGCACTACAGGATAATGTGCTCAACTGCAAGGTCAGTTTGAGCTGCAAGTTTGTCAGTTCAAACCCACCAGCTACTTCTCAGAAACCCTATACAGGGTTGCTATGACATTGGAACTGACACTATGGCACTTAACAACAACAATGTTAATGTGTTCTTAGGCTCTCACCAACTGTCTCCTGTGAGTGTAGTTCGAAAGTGGAAGTGAGTACACCGTGCTATTTGCTGTCTGTGCACCTCCAGTTAAGGTGGGTTTGGCTGGTGTTGGCTGCTGTGTGTCGCAGATTAAGTGGTACAGGAGTTGGTATTGGCTCTTGTCCAGTGGGTGGAGCTTCAGAGGGTACAGTTGTGGCTGGGCTGTATGGGCATGGTTGCTGTGAGAAAGTATCCACCCCTCCACACACATACACACAAGAAAACAAAACAAAATAAATAAACAAGTAACCAATAATGAAAAGAAAATAATAGAGGAGAAAAAAATAAATAAAACAGGCAGCAACCAGGAAAAAAGAATATAATAATTATATAGAGAAAGAAGGGACAGGAAAATAGAGCTGCAGAAGAGAAAAATAAGAAAACAAAAGGAAGAAATTTTTTTAAAAAACTCAAACAGAAAAACCAAGGAGAAAGAAGATGAAAAGAGAGAGCATAGTAAAGAAAGATCAAAAGGAATACAAAGAAGAGGGGAAATGAGAAACAGAAGGGGCAGGGGAAGCTGATATAGAAAGGATAAAACTCAAGGAAATGGAAAGAACAATGAAATAATGAAAGGAAAACAAACAAACAACAGAGCTGTTGGATACAGAGAGGAAAAAACTCTGTGGGGCTCCTGCCAGCCAAAGAGCTCATGAGGTGGGTGTGGGAAGGATGTGACAGGGAAGTTCCTGGTCCTAGATGGAGTTCCTATAGGCCCAGGTGTTATCTATGTTCAGGGCACTCAATCTGAAGAGTTTGTGGAGGCCCCTGTTGGAGCTGGTTTCAGCGTCTGTTAGGACCACAGGATAGCTGGAGTTAAAGTGCCTGGTTAAGAGGATTTCTGCCAGGCTAATGCTGGTCTGGTGGCTCTGTGGTTCTGTTACATCTGGAATTGAGCCCACCTGACTCCAGGCACCAAAGTGCACCAGCCCCTGCCTCACACTGATGTGGCTCTCATCCACGTGGCTCCTAACTCCCAGAGTGTGGGTGGATAAGGTGGGAGCTGGCCACACCTCTGGCCACTAGAGGAATGTGGGAGAAAATAGGGAATCTGATGTTTCCTGTTTCCTGTATGAATCTGCTCTGGCAGACCACCTTTTATTGCCAAAGCTGCTCACAAACATTCAAGACAGTTGTACTATGTCTGGTTGGCAGTCCACCAGTCTGGCTTCCTCTCCCACTGTCCCTGCTCAGCTTCTCCTCCCAGCAAGCCCTTAATCCACTTCTCTAGCCTTTCCTCTGAAGATCAGGGTTCCAGAATTTTCATCTGTGTCTTTTTCATTTGTTGTTGTTGTTAAGTGATATTGAGTTGGTTCCAAATCATAGCAACCCTGTATAGGGTTTCCAAGGAGCAGCTGGTGAGTTTGAACCACTGACCTTGTGGTCCAGTGCTTTATCCCATGGCGCTACACCAGGACTTCTATATCTATTTCATTTGGTCTTTCCTATAAGCACTCGACCTCAAGGTCGGTTTGAACCACAAAGTCAACTGTTCAAACTCACCAGCCGCTCCTTGGAAACCCTGTATTATACAGACTCACTATGGTTCTCAACTGACTCGATGACACTTAACAACAACAACAATCTTTGTTGTAGAAGGTCCATGTAGTGTGTCTGCCTAGTCTACCATCTTTCAGGAAGTCTCCAAAATTATGGATTATTTTAAAGGTACTTCTCAACCTGTCAGCTTAATCTGTTAAGTGATCACCTATTTCTTCTCAGCTTTAGACTGCAGTCTATTCTTTATGATGGGAAACCTATTTTCATTTTCAGAACTGTCACGTATCTGGGATCTGAGGGAAAAAACAGTTCTCTGGAGCGAGACTGGCCCAGTTCCAGGTCCCCATCTGCATATGCAATGACTCCCTCTAATCCTGATGTCACCCTGCTCAGAGATTGAGCTTGCTCTGGTTTCTCCCCACTCCCAAGAACATGCACCTCCCTACCCCTCAGCTGGGACTTCTTCCCTAGGGCTTTGGAATCTCTACCTTCTGGTCTAAGCAGCTTTAGTGGCACAGTTGTTAAAGTGCTTGGCCAATAACCAAAAGGTTGGGAGTTTGAACCCACCAGCCCATAGGTGGAATAAGGATGTACAATCTGTGTCTCTGCTTCAGTACCCTATAGGGTAATTCTACTCTTAGGATAGGTTTCAGTTTGGGGTCCTTCTGCTCTAGAAGGCTTGGGGTGAAGAGGTGTAGCCTCTGAAGCCTTTAGCCGGATAACAGGGTGCAGCAGTGTAGGGGTGCTGGATTAAAAAATAAAAGAATCCTTTTAAATTTGAATTTAGATAGACTCTGAATTTTTTCTCTTAGTAAAAGTATGTTTCCAAGAAAAGTATTTGTTATCTTAAATTCCAAGGAGCTCTGTCGTGGTTCCAAATCAGGTTTCAAGCTGCAAGGCCAGCAGTTCGAAACTATCAGCTGTTCCATGGGAGGAAAGATGAGGCTTTCTGCTCCCCTAAGTATTTATAGCCTCAGAAACCCTGTACAGGGTCTCTATGAGTCGGAACCAACTCCAGGGCACATAACAACAACAACATCTTAAATTCCAGCTTGACTGGGTTTCATTTGCTAAATCTGGGAACCCTTCAAAGTGGCGGAGGATTTTAATTCAGGTCAGTCTGGTGGGAATGGGTCTTACTCTTTTCCTCCTGCAATATCAGGATGATGGCTTTAGGGGCTCAGTGGAGGAATTATGAGACCTGGAAGAGATTGGCTGTGTTATATGGATTTTGTAACCTTTCAACTCCCATGTAAACTTCAATTGTTGTTGTTGTTGTTAAGTATCATCGAGTCGCTTCCGACTCATTGCGACCCTGGATAAGGTTTCCCAGGAGAGGCTGGTGAGTTTGAACAGCCGACCTTGTGGTCCAGTGTTAAATCGTACAGCGCCACACTAGGACTCCAATTGGTCCTCCTTAATTCTCTGTTTTAGAAAAAAAATATCTGGTGTTACTCTACCTAAATAATCAAGAAGAAACAAAGAGAAAAGAAAAAAAATATCAAGGAAATTTGGGGTCCGTGGCACTGTGGGATAATGCGTTCAAACTCACCAGCCACTCCTCAGAAACCCTATCCAGGGTCCATATGGGTCGGAACCCACTCAATGTCACTTAACAACAACACCAACAATCCTAAGCATGCTACAAAAACCACTTCAGGCCTACACATGTGGACGCTCACCACACTTCTGGTCCCAAGCAGAAACATCACTTAACTTCCAGGTGCCACACCACCCGAAACATGTGAGCGTACGTATCCCGCTCAACCCAGAGGAGCCGCAACGCATGCGTTCTTTGGGCCCCGCCTCCCGGCGTGAGGTGTGCGCAGGCGCAGGCCCAGCCCGAAAGCGCCGGAAAGGCAAGCTTCGGTGGCGACTGCAGTTGGAAACCTCTGAGAGTTGTGTTATCCCTGTTGGCCCTCATGGCCTTTGCACCCATGGGGCCTGAGGCGTCGTTCTTCGAGGTTTTGGAACAGCACAGGGCTTCACTACTGGCAGCCTTGAGGACAGGCCGTGAGGAGTCCCCTCGTGGGGGCACCCGCTCCATCTCTAAGTACAAGAAGGAGCAAGAATGTTGGATGGAGAGGGGGGCTTGAGGAGGACGATCTGTAAAATCGAAAAGCGTCGGGGATCCTGTTTGCTCCCTTTTTCTGTCTTTGAGCTCATGAATCAGGGTCACCTTGGCTGGTGTGGAGGCCACCAGAGGGGGGCCCTCTGCACGTCAGCCCCGAACCCCCAAAGAGGCCTGCCCTTAGCCTCCCTCCTTTCTGCTTTCAACTCCTCATTCCAATCCCCAAAGCCTGCTCACAGCCTCCTTGTGTCTTCTAGAATGTTCCCTTCTTAGAATGGCCCCCTTCTAGAAGGTTCCAGGGAAACCCCTCAGTGAGGCGCTCATTTTTTTTAACTTCAAAATATTTTTTAAAAAGAAAAACTTTAGTTTCTTTTTTTTTTTTTTTTAAGAGAAAGTGAGGGAAAAATGAATGCTGTCAATTCACCTCAGAAAACCAGGGTTTTCTCCAAATAATCAGGAAGTCAATATTCAACTTTTAAGTAATTTATAATAAGACAGCGTTTTTTTTCGACATGTAGATGGAAGTGGAGCAAATGCACATCTTTTAAATGATTTATTGAGAATGGATCGCAAAGATTCCCCAACCCGCCCCAGTCCCTCAGAATTGGAATTAATTACAGAAAACGTGTTTCTGTTATTGATCGCTTCTGCTTAAACTGCTCTACTGGTTCGCTTCCTTGATCCATTTTTTTGGTTTGCTCGGCACACATTTTCAAGAATAAACAAATGGCTGTCTAGGATTTGTAAGTCAGAGCCAACTGTCCAAAACACCCACAAACACATTTTTAACAAAAGGATTTCCTTTGTGAGCCAACCTGAGAGGGCTAGAGAACAGGGAATAGGGAGCCCCTTGCTTAGAGATGTAAATTGACCCCATTACATCTTCAGGTTGATTTGTTAAGCAACATTACTTTATTCAAACCAATGGGATATTTGAATCAGATTTCCCTCTCATTTTTAGAAAATACTAGATTTAAAATACCTCATCTAAGGTGTGTGTTTTTTCAGTGAAAACTTTGGGCTTCCCATAAATACTATAAAACTGTGCATTTTACTCATTTCAGATTCCATGTGGTTTATCTTCCTGGTCCATATGCTAATTGTGTTTGTAAAAGAACCACATTTTTTTAAGCTGATGGCTTGTGAAATTACAAGTCATGTGACAGAAAGCTGGACTCCGTCTTAATAGTTTTGTTGTAAAATGGTGGATTCTTTGCTAAGGCAATTATTTGGTACAGAACTTAACAATTTATTTTTTTCATGGTAATGATTAAAACCTTTTTTTCTTTCTTTCTGTATCACTAAAATTCAAAAGGGTTGATTGGAGGCATGAGCTCAATGAGGGTAATGTACTACAAGAAATGTTTCTTTTGGAATATTTCAGCCCTGCACTTGAGAGGAACAAAATGAAGTTCAAAGCCAGTATTACATAATTTTTAATTAAAACATCAGTTGAATCTTAAGCCAACAAGTTTGTATCTAAATTCAGCTAGATTAAAGTAAATTAATATAAAAAGTAGGTAACATGATTTATAAATTATATTGTCTACTCATTAAAAGGGCAGTATGATTTCAATAGGTAATTATTTGAGAATTACATAAAATTATAAGCAAATGTAATTTCTTCCTACATAATCACTATAAATGCAGTTGTTGTTTTAATGTGTGATTTTAATGTGATGCCAAGACTTAATGGGAGAGACCATTACTGACATGGATTGCCTAAACAATCAACAAAATGAAAAGTTGTCCTAGTGTTGTTCTAGGGATGTGTATAATTACGAACGAATCGTACTGTGTTTATTATTTCAGTTCTGAGGTTCTTGCCTCTATCGAAAATATTATTCAAGACATAATCACGAGCTTGGCAAGAAACGAAGCACCTGTATTCACTATAGAGAACAGATCACGCTGGGAAAACATGAAGTGGGCATTTTGTATTTTTATTTTTAGATGTGATATCTATTTCGTCATTTGAATTTACTTGAATCAGAGTTCTAAGCAGATTTGGTTGCCTTTATTCTGTCAAAAAGAATGTAAGGAAACTTACAAAAAATATCCAATAAAGAAAGGTTATATAAGCTAGAAGAATGTAAGGAAATTTATAAAACAGATCCCATAAGAAAGGCTATATAAGGAAAAGTAGGTGTTAGTGGTAAAGCGAGAAAAACAATGCTGCTCTTTTGGGGTGCTGTAGATTCTGACTCAATGACACCATGCGCAAAGTTGGGTTCTCTTGGCTACAAACTTTACTGGAGTACGGAGTGTTCTTCCGTGAAGACTCTAGGAGGGTTTGAATCACCAACCTTTGGTTGTTGCTGTTAAGTGCTGTAGAGTCGATTCCGACCCATAGCAACCTTGGTTAGCAGTGGAGTATTAACCAAGGTCAGCTGTTCAAACACACCAGCCGCTCCTTGGAAGCCCTATTACAGGGTTGCTGTGAGTGGGACCAACTCGACGGCACTGACAGCAATGGTGGAAATGTGACATAAGATTAGGCAAAAGCAAATCACTTGCTCAGGGCCACTACAACCAATTCCCAAGACCAAAATATGTGCCACTGAGTCAGTTCTGACTTGTGGTTAGCAGTCCAGTGCTGACCCTATAACAGGGAACCAGTACTCTATCCTGAACATTGCAGGAGATCTTAAAGGCTCTTGCTGTTAAGTCATCTGTCCCAGAAGAGTAGAATCTGCCAACAGCTTTATTAAAGTCCTCCAGGCTACTTATAAAGTAGTATCTTCTCTACTAAAGTGAAGATCACTCTAAGAATGGGTTTCTTACTTTGTAAGACCTACAGAAATAGAGTAAAAGTAAATTTGTGGCTCCTTACTCACTAAGGAGGGGTACCTGGGTGGTGCAAACTGTTTGCATGCTAGCCTAAAGCTGGTGGTCTGAATTCAGCCAGTGACACTGGAAGAGTCATCTGGCATCTGCTTCCGTAAAGATTACAGCCAAGAAAACCTCACGGAGCAGTTCTACTCTGTAACACAGGGGTCACCATGAGGAATCAATTTGATAGCAAGGAGCTGGTCACTAAATATTGGATGATTGTCACAATAAATATTATAAACTGTAGTTTTCAATCCTAGTTGTCAAATTAATAAATAATAGTGTTTTCAGTGAAAATTACATTTCCAATTTTAACAATTTCTATCCCAAATTATTCACTGATGTTAGTTACATTTTTCACAATGTGTTAACATTCTCTTTAATTGTGTTCCAGTTCTAATTCCAGTTCTCTGGCTTCCCCGCCCCCTTATTGTTTGTCTCACCTTTGCTTTAGCGTAATCGTGGACTTTTTTGATCTCATACTGGATGGTTTTTAATGTAGCCTCAGACTCCTGGTTAATATCCTTTTTGTGTATGTGCTTATCTGCTATTTCATTTAAAGGTGACTGGAGATAGTTTGGCTCAAAGTTTAAAAGAGTATCTCAGGGATATTGTCTCAGTGAGTCTTCTAGTCTCAACTGGTCCAGTAAGTCTGGACGTTTTACGAATTTAAATTCTATTCTGTATTTTCTCCAATTCTATCAAGCTCAATCTATTGTGGTCCTGATCATAACAGTCAGTAATGGTAGGTAGTAATATTTTGAAAAATGGATTTCATTCAGGCTTCAAGCAGTTGCTATCTGGCATCTTTGTCTGGTGCATTCTGCCACCTTTAGGACAGGACAGGCTTGGCAGTTCAATTTAGCAACCTAGTATAAATTATTTCATTTAATATAACTTTGATATTAAATCAGAATTCTGTTTCAAAACTATAAATGATTAAAATGAATAAAATACAAATAAAATGTGAAATATTTGAAAACATTTTATGTACACTGTCTCCCCAGGAAAGAATTAGATAGATAGCTAAAATGTCGGTGTGTGTGTTTGTGTGTGTGTATGTGTGTTTGTATTTGTTGTTGCTAAATACTGTAGAGTCAGTTCCAACTCAGCGACCCTGTCTAGAGTCTCCAAGGAGCAGCTGGTGGATTTGAACGACCAACCTTGAGGTTCAAACCAAGCTTTTGACCCGGTACATTATCCTGCAGTGCCACACCAGGACTCCATATATATAACAACAGTGGAGCATGATGTCGCTGTAGAATAAGCACTGGACAGTGAGCCCATGGGCAGTGGTTGGAGCCACCAGCCACTCTGTGGGAGAAAGTTGAGGTTTTCTGCTTCCACAAAGATTTACAGGCTCTGAAAATACTATACAAGGGTGTTATGAGTCAGAACCGAGTCAACAGTACTTACCAACACTGTCACAATAAGAGATAATTCATTTACTTTAAGTGCTTTATTTAATTAGCTCTGTATCTCACAGAGCTAATTACTGCCTGTAATGATGTAAGTTGACAAAGAAGTTATGCTCCAGCTGTAATGATTACATGGAAAAGAGATGTGGAATTTAAATAATGTGAAGGACATTCATTATATGTTGTTTAATGTTCAGAATAGAGTTCTTTTTCATCTAACGTCCTTGTTTTAAACAAAATGATAGATTTGAAGATTCCGTGGGTCTTCAGATGGTATCTCATTGTACCACAAGAAAAGTCAAAAGTGACTCACCAAAATCCGCACAAAATTTTGGTAAATTATGCTTTCTTGGTAAATTAATCTTTTCATGGTAGAGAATAAATAAATACACTTGGCTCTCATTTAACTTTCATTGTTCTTTGTTAAATTGTTTTACTTGTTTTTGAATAGACCATTCTATTTGAATAGACCACTCTATGCATGAGATAAATGTGTAACATTTTATATTGTCAATAACCATGGAAGTAGATTGTCATTCCAAAATAAATGTAGGTTTCAAGGTGTATGCTTCAGTGGGAAATTGTTCTCTCAGTTTGGTTGTCCTTAGTGAAATTAATTTTATCGGATTCTTCAGACAGTTGTTATTCGATGCTTAACCCTTCCGTTTTGGAAAGACAAAAATGTATAGAAAATAACAAGGGACAATTAATAAGTCTTGTGTTTTACAATTTCATTTTAAAATTCTTACATTTTAAAATGAGTCTCACTGTAGTTTCTGTTAGCAATAGCTTTTTAATTACTGAGAGAATGACAATTAACTTGTTTGTCACTTTTTTTTCAGCTCTAATTCTTAAAATATTATCCATGATTTATAAATTGGTGCAAAGCGACACTTATGCAACCAAAAGGTAAATATCTCATTCTGGCAAATTCCTTTTTTAATATACAACATGAGATAGAGTTAGAGTGACTTTTGTTACATACTTTTAAAAATTACATAAAACTGGACTATGGGTAATAAGTTACTTTATTCATATGTTCTGTTTAATCTAATTAATGTTTTCTTCAAATAAACCACATTGTTTGTCATAGTCAAAGAAAAGACCATTAATTAACAATGTATTTAAAATTTTTTTCTTAGAGACATATATTACACTGACTGCCAACTCTTTGGAAATCAAACTGTTGTGGACAATATAATCAATGACATTTCTTGTATGTTAAAAGTGCCAAGGAGGAGCCTACATATAGTAAGTTACTGTTGAGTACAAATCAGCTTATTCTAAAGTAAAATGTTAGTGTAAAAATTGTAATCAAAATAAAAAATGTGATCTGTGTGTTCTTTTGATATTATTTGATACTATTTTATTCTCATTATACATTTAAATCATCTGTTTTTAATCAATTCCCTTGGAAGGATGAACTAGATAAAACAAATGAGTCACCAAATCGCCTCAATTCCTGAATTCCCTTACAAGTTTTCTATTTTATTTCTTAAATTCCACGCTGAGTTCAAACATGTAGTTTTGCAGGTGAACCTGAGAACTGATAGAGAAACAGAAAATGTGAGAACAGTTCCAAATCTGTCTATTCTTTTTTCAGTTATCGACATCAAAAGGCTTAATTGCTGGCAATTTAAGCTACCTGGAGGAAGATGGTACCCGAGTGAGCTGTGCAGGTTGCTCAACAGTAAATATTGCTGATGCTCTGACCAGCACTTAACTCCCTGACAACCCATGGCTGAAATGTATTCTCTTACCTGCTTTATTATGCAGTTTGCAGAGGAAGCTTGAAAACGAACCTTGAGTCTGAAGAAGTCTGTGTTTTCAGGACTGTACATGACATCGTTTCAAAATAGGCCAAATTGCTGAGTGTTATGTTTTCGATTGCATATACATATATATATGTACACACACACATACATATATACACATATATCATATATCCCTTTCAAAATATACTGCTATATGCAGGTAGAATGTGGCCTGGGGTTATTTTATTCTACATCAAATTTGAAAGTTACAGAGTATCATTTCTGAAAACTTTCTAAAACATTCCTGATTCCTAAATTAATCTCTGGTAGCCTCATGGCTATGAATTGGGCTGCTAACCTCAAGATCAGCAGTTCGAAAACTATCAGCTTTTCCACGGGAGAAAGATGAGGCTTTCTGCTCCCGTAAAGATTTACAGCCTTGGAAACCCTATACTGGGACTCCATGCACATTACCAACACCACCTATTAGGAGATCTAGTAGCGTAGTAGTTACCAGTCGGGCTACTATCCTCAAGGTCTGCTAGTACGAAACTACCAGTGGTTCTGTGGGAGAAAGATGAGGCTTTCTGCTCCTGTAAAGATTTACAGCCTCGGAAACCCTGTGCAGATCCACGGCACATAACCACCACCACCACCAAGTTAATCTATTAGATGTTAATACAGCCTCGGAAACCCTATACAGAGTCGCTATGAGTCAGAACCACGACACATAACTAAGCAACCAATCAAGCAGTAGACTGGCACAGTCATGTGGAAAAGGACCAGGAGCCGTGCTGGGAAAAGAAGAAGGGGAGGCTCAAAAGGTCCTGCACCAGGAATCTTGTCCTGCTTTTTGAGCCTCCTATCAACAGTACTACCTAGAAGTTCTCGCCTGCTGCGAAGTAGTTTGGGCCATGGGTCTGTGATTTTATTAAAGGTAACTGTTTCCTCCTGTTTGCTTACGAAGGAATAAATCTCTGATGACTTATGTTGTTGTTATTAAAGTGCCGTGGAGTCGATTCTGACTCATAGTGACCCTGCATAGGGGTTCCGAGGCTGTAAATCTGTTTGGGAGCAGAAAGCCTCATCTTTCTCCCACAGAGCAGCTGGAAGTTTCGAACTGCTGACCATGAGATTAGCAGCCTGACTCCTAACCACAGTGCTACCAGAGCTCCTTCTGATGACTTACAGACAAAGGAAAATGAAAATACAGATTTCTGTGGTAGATTAGAAACTGTGCTTATACTTGCTTTTTTATTTTAAAATTTTTTAAATAAACCTTTCTTGTTTTGTTAATTTAGGCTGTTGCTGTACCATCTAATATTCAAGGACTTCGGAGTATCCTTTGAGTGGGGAAACAACACCTGTAGAATCCTTCTTCATTTGCTCTTCTTCTTCATTTTTTTTAGTTCATTAATTTTTTGTCTTCATTTGTTCTTTTGCTACAGCAATCCTTCATTATATGCCAAGAACAAGTTAAACCTTCTGGTATCGTAATGAATATGTATGTCATGGTTCCTGACAGCTAGTGGGGGAGACGGATATTTACAGTATGAATGTTGTTGGTGCTGTTGAGTCAGTTCCCGCTCATAGCCACCCTATACTGTATAGGGGCTTCCAAGGAGCGGCTGGTGAGTTTAAACCTTTCAGTTCAAACCAACCTCATGGTCCGTTGCTTATCCTACAGCGCTACACCAGGACTCCACAAGTATGAATTGATATCTATTTTATTTTCCCTGTTTTTTAAAGGTAAAATAAAAATACCATGTTTATAGCTATTTTTTAATGACACCAGTTGATGGGTAAATTTAAACAACTCTTGTCTTTAAAACTACATGTGGTTCAAGCCTTAACTTCACAGATTTAATTACAGATGCAAAATTCCTATTAATTGTAGAAAAAGATGCGACCTTTCAGCGTCTCTTAGATGATAACTTCTGCAGCAAAATGTCTCCGTGCATCATGGTTACGGTATTTACCTGTATTTTTATTATTATATTCTTATTATTTAAAATGCCAAAACTAACATATACTACTCTGGTGATTGGTTGTTGTTGTTTTTGTTAAGTGCCATTGAGTTAGTTCCGATTCATAGCAAACCTGTTTAGGGTTTCTGAGGATCAGCTGGTGGGTTTGAATTGCTGAACTTGGGGTTCAAACTCACCCTGTAGTCCAGCACATTATCCTGTAACACCACACCAGGACTTGTAAGGTACTTCTCTAGCATTATCTCTACAGCTCAGACAACAATCTGTTACCAATTTAGTGTACCCTCAGGGTCGTAGAAGAAGAATTGTCAAGATGTTTAACATCCTCAAGTCATCACTTGTCTGTCTGTCTGTCATGCTGCTGTGATGCTGCAAGTTATTCCACTAGCATTCAAAATACCATCAGATGGACGGACAGGTTTCGGTGGAACATCCAGACTAAGACAGACTAGAAAGAAAGAGAGGCGGGCCATTTCTGAATGGAACCACTGAACATCTGATGAACAGCAGGGGAGCATGTCAGATATAGCACCAGAAGATGAAAACAGTATGAATAACAACCAAACATGGCCAGATATAGTGCCTCAAGATGAGTCCTTCGGGTTGCTTGTTGTTGTTAAGTGCTGTCGAGTCAGTTCCAACCCACAGCGACCCTGTATAGGATTTCCGAGGAGTAGTTGGTAAGCTTGAATCACCGAACTTGTGGTGCAATCTGACTTTGCCACACTCAGAATACTACTGCTTCCTCAAAGTAGAGTTGACCATAATGATGTGAATGGAGTAAAGCTTTCAGAACCTTCATTGGTTAATGGGGCACAACTCAAAATGAGCAACAGCTGCAAACATCCATTACTAATCAGAACATGGAATGTATGAAGTATGAATCTAAGAAAATTGGAGGTTTTCAAAAAATGAAATGGAGCGTATAAAGATCAATATCCTAGGCACTAGTGAGCTGAAAGGGTCCATTTTGAATCAGACAATCGTATAGTTTAGTACGCCAGGAATGACAAATTGAAGAGGAATAGCACTGCATTCATCATCGAAGAGAACATCTCAAGATCTTTCTTGAAGTAAAATACTGTCTGTTATAGGATAGTATCCACATGCCTATCAGCAAGACCCATTACTACCACCACTATTACTCAAATGAACACACCAACCACTAAAGCTGGTGATGATATAACTGAAGATTTCTACCAACTTCTATGAGTTGGAACCAACTCTATGGCCCTAAAAACAACAACAACAATAACCAACTTCTTCAGATGGAAATTGATCAAACACACGACTGAGATGCATTGATAATTACTGTTGACTGGAATGTGAAGGTTGGAAACAAAGAGAAAGGAAAAATAGTTGGAAAATATGTCCTAAGTGATAGAAATGACATCAGAGAATTTTGCAAGACCAATGACTTCTTCATTGCAAATACCTTTTTTAAACAGCATAAAAGGTGACTATACCCATGGACCTCACCAGATGGAATACATCTGATGATTATCAGATTTGGCATACACTGACTACATCTGTTGGAAGAGACATTGGAAAAGCCCCATATTATCAGCCAAAACAAGGCCAGGGGCAAACTCTAGAACAGACCATCAATTGCTCATATACAAGTTCAGATTGAAGCTGGAAAAAAAAAAAGAAAAGAAAAGAAAACAAGTCCACACAAGCCCCAGAGGAGTTGTGGGGTGACATCAAGAACATCATCCATGAAGAAGGTAATTTCAAAGACAGGAAAGAAGAAAAAGAAAAGACCAAAATGGATGCCAGTGGAGTCTCTTAAACTTGCTCTCCAGCGTAGAGAAGCTAAAGCAAATGGGAAAAATGAGGAAGTAAAAGAGCTGAACAGAAAATTTCAAAGGACAGCTCAAGAAGACAAAGCCAAGTATTAATGAAATGTGCAAAGACCAAACCAAACAGGAAGAACATGCTCAGCATTTCTCAAGCTGAAAGAACTGAAGAAAAATTCAAGCCTTGACTTGCAATGCTAAAGGATTCTATTCAATATTTCTGTATCAAAATATTGAATGATGCAGAAAGCATCAAAAGTAGATGAATTCAATAGTGAGTAGTTGGTATCATGACTAATTGTGATTGTTACAACCATAAAGGTAGAAGTCTTGTAACAAAAAGTGGGGAGTAGTTAATCTTACATTGCAGGAACCGAGGACCCTAGGACCATCAAGGGAGAAGAGCACGAGCGGAATGTGGAAGCCTATCCAGAGAAGCAGTGACACCAGAGATGGAAGCAGAGATGAGGACATGGAGAGAGGGAGCAGCTGAGGACTCTAGACTCATGGAAAGAGAGGGACTGTTTGCTTGAGGCCAGGAGGCAAGCTTGCAGAATGTGCCCTTTGTTTGTTTAAATGATTATATACTCCTGAGTATTTTAGTGTACATCCCTCCCGCCCCTCCCCCAAAAGAAGATCGAAAGAATACACAGAGTCTCTGTACAAAAAGAAATGGTCAGTCATTTCAAGAGGTAGCATATGATCAAGAACCAGTGATACTGAAGGAAGAAGTACAAGCTGTACTGAAGGCAGTGGTAAAAAACAAGGATCCAGGAATTGATGGAATACAAATTGAAGTATTTCTACAATCTGATGAAGACTGGAGGTGCTCACTCATCTATCTGTGCCAAGAAATTTGGAAGATGGTGACCTGGCCAATTGATTGGAAGAGAACCATATTTGTGCCCATTCTAAAGAAAGGTGAACCAACAGAATGTGAAAATCATTGAACAATGTAATTAATATCATGTTCAAGTAAAATTTAGCTGGATATAATTCAAAAACAGTTGCAACAGTACATTGGCAGGGAACTTTCAGAAATTCAAGCGGATTCAGAAGAGGAAGTGGAACAAGAAATATCATTGTTGACACCAGATGGGTCTTAGCTAAAAGCAGAAAATACCAGAAGCATATTTACTTGTGTTTTATTTACTATGAAAAGGCGTTAGACTGTGTTGTTATTGTTGTTGTTGTCAGGTGCCATCGAGTCAGTTCCAACTCATAGCGACCCTTTATAGGGTTTCCAAGGAGTGCCTAGTGGCTTTGAACCACTGACCTTGAGATTAACAGTCCGGTGCTTTCATACAGTGCCATAATATTGTGAAGAATAGGTATTCTGGAACACGTAATTGTGCTCATGAGGTACCTGTACATAGACCAATGGGCAGTTGTTAGAACAGAGTAAGGGGATACTGAATGATTTGAAATCAGGAAAGGTGTGCGCTGGGGTTGTATCCTATCACCAACCGTATTCAATCTGTATGCTGAACAAGTAATGAAGAAACTCGATTATATGAAGAAGAGCACGGAATCAGGATTGAAGGAAGACTCATTAACAACCTGCAATATGCAGATGACACAACCTTGATTGCTGAAAAGGAAGAAGACTTAAAATACTGATGAAGATCCAAGACTACAGACTTCAGGATGGATAGCATCTCAATGTAAATGAAGTGAAAATCCTCACCACTGGGCCAATAAATAACATCATGATAAATGAAGAATGTATTGAAGTTGTCAAAGATGTCATTGTGCTTGGGTTCACAATCAACACTCATAGAAGCATCAGTCAGGAAATCAAATGACGTATTGCATTTGGTAAATCTGCTGCACAAGACCTCTGTAAAGTGTTCAAGAGCAAAGATGTTAAAGGACTAAGGTGCACCTAACCCAAGTCATGGTGTTTTCTATTGCCTCATATGCATGTGAAAGCTGGACAATGAATAAAGAAGACAGAAGAATCAATGCATTTGAATTATGGTGTTGGAGGAGAATATTGAAAGAACCATGAGCTGCCAGAAGAACAAATCTTCTATTTAAAAGAAGTACAGCCAGAATGTCCTTAGAAGTGAGGATGGTGAGACTTTGTCTCTCATTCTTTGGACAAGTTTCCAGTCCCAGAAGAACATCATGCTTGGTAAAGTGGAGGGTCAGCGTAAAAGAGGAAGACCCTTAGCAAGATGGATTGACACAGTGGCAGCAACAGTGGGCTGAAACATAACAGTTGTGAGGACGGCACAGAATTGGACAGTGCTTCATTCTGTTGTGTGTAGGGTTGCTATGAAAGGGAAGTGACTCCAAGGCACCTAATGGCAGAAGCACTAACAGCAACAACAGTCTTTATGGGAGCAGATTGCCAGATCTTTCTCCCAAGGAACTGCTGGACAGTTTGAACAGCCAATCGTTCAGTCAGCAGCTAAGCTCTAAACTGTTGCTCCTTAAGTACATTTTGTAGATGAGGAAACCAGGACACAGAAAGGTCACATGACTGTTTCAGGTTTATGTTGCTAAGAAGTTGTTGTGGGTAAGTGCCACTGAGTCAGTTCTGACTTATAGCGATCCTGTGTAAGGGTTCTGAGGAGTGGCTGGTGGGTTTGAACTGCTCACCTTGCAGTTAAGAGTCCAGTGCTTACCCTAGAGTGCCACACCAGACTCTTGCTGAGAAATGGCAGTCCGGTGCCTGACCCTGCTGTGAACAGATGCCTCCTCTCCACGGTCCCAGGGTTAGTCATTTTGGCTATTTACAATGAACTTTGTAATGTTTTTGCTATCTTCAGTAATTCAAAATAATTTTGCAATGCATATCTTTAAGTGTATGGGGTTTTTTATTATTTGATTTCTGTTTCTGCTAAAATACTTCCTTGGGATCTGCAATACTGCCTAAGAGTTGGATAGTTGAGTTAGAGGCATGAATGTGCATGGACTCACTCCCCTGGTGTATAGAGTGTCCATTTCTGCCCGGCCAACCCCATCCCTTCACCACCTGAAGTTTAGGGGGAATTGAGATGATTCACTTCTAACTGAACTATGGGTGCAGTTCGTCCATGTTTTTTAAAAATGTGTCATTTCCATCCGGTTTTCAGGGAAAGGGGGTGCCTGACCTGAATACAAGACTTTTCGTCAAGAAGCTGTGGGAACTGTTCCACATTCCTCTCTTCACTCTGGTAGACGCGGATCCACATGGTAACGTAGCACTGCGCTGTTGTTGGAAACAGCAGCCAGGATGAGAACATTCTTGTAGTACGTTCCTCTGCTCTCAGAACACTTTTCACAAAGTATTTAAAAGGTTACTGTTAACTATAGAAAAATGAACAACTATAATCACTTGAGGATGCTAGGGTTTTTTGGGTTTTGTTTTTTTTTTTTTTACTGTATTAGACTGAGAACTATACATGTTTCATTTGTAATGTCCTTGAAAATAAAAATCACAGATGTCAGATAAGAATTGAGAGGGCAACTATCACTGCTGTTTTATGCAAGAAGACTGATTTCAAAGCTGGCTTTCTTTTAACAGGCATAGAAATAATGTGCATCTACAAATACGGGTCCATGGTAAGTAGAGCTGGGTATTTTTCTTATTCCACTACAGGCAGACCTTGTTTTGTTACACTTTGCTTTATTGCACTTTGCAGAAAATTGTGTGTTTTGTTTGTTTTTATAAATTGAAGGTTTGTAGCTAACCTGGAGCCAGCAAGTCTATCTGTGCCATTTTTCCAAGAGCGTGTGTCACCTCGTATCTTTGTGTCATTTTGACACATTTTGGTCATTCTCACAATATTTCAAACCTTTTTGTATTGCTATTATACATAGCCTTTGTTATGGATTACATCTCAATGTAAAAAAAAAACAAAAATCCTCACAACTGGACCCATAAACAACATTCTTATCAATGGAGAAAAGATTGAAGTTGTCAAGAACTTCATTCTTCTTGGATCAACCATCAACACTCATGGAAGCTGAAGTCAAGAAATCAAACAACATATTGCACTGGGCAAATCTGCTGCACAAGACATTTTTAAAGTGTTGAAGAACAAAGATGTCAGCTTGAAGACTAACGTGCACCTGACCCAAGCCATGGTATTTTCAATAACCTCATATGCATGCAAAAGCTGGACAGTGAATAACGAAGACTGTAGAAGAATTGCTACTTTTGAATTATGGTGTTGGAGGAGAATATTGAAAGTGCCATGGGCTGCCAAAAGAACCAATAGATCTGTTTTGGAAAAAGTGCAGCCAAAGTGCTCCTTGGAAGCCAGGATGGCCAAACTTCGTTTCTCATACTTTGGATATATTGTCAGGAGGGACCAGTTGCTGGAGAAGGATATCATGTTTGGTAGGGTGGCGGGTCAGAGAAAAAGAGGAAGACCCCCAACGAGATGGATTGGTAAAGTGGCAGCATTAATGGGCTCAAGCATGGCAACAGTAGTGAGGTTGGCCCAGGATCGGGCAGTGTTTCATTCTGCTGTGCATAGGGTTGCTATGAGTTGGTACCGACTTGATGGCACCTAACAACAACAACAACTGTACACTTAACAGACTGTTGTTGTTATTAAGTGCTGTCAAGTCAATTCTGACTCATAGTGACTCTTTATAGGATTTCCGAAGAGCAGCTGGTGAGTTTGAACCGCTGACCTTTTGGTTAGCAGTCCAGTGGATATCCTACAGCGCCACACCAGGACTGCTGATAGATGGTTGTTGTTGTTAGTGCCATCGAGTCAGCTCCAATTCATATTAACCCTATATTGGGTTTCTGAGGAGTGGCTGATAGGTTTGAACTGCTGATATTAAGGTTCAAACTGACCTTATAGTCCAATGCTTTATCCTACAGCACTACACCAGGAGTGGAAACATAACTTTTACATGCCCTGGGAAACCAAACAATTCATGTGATTTTTTTTTTATTGCAGTGATCTGGACCCAAACCCACAATACTTCAATATTTTCTGTTCATTAGTGTAATTTCTGCATTGGCTGTACTTATCATTCCCCAGTAACCTGTTGTTGTTGTTGTCTGCCATCAAGTCAGTCCCTACTTATAGGGACCCTGATAGGGGTTCTGAGAGCTGCCAGGATTTGCCGACCTCGCAGTTAGCAGTCCAGTATTTACCTTAGAGTGCCACACCTGAGGGCACCAGAATGTCCCAGGGGAGGCAGTCTCCTAGCTTAGAACCATTCTACACTTCAGTGGTTGTCATTGCAGTCTTCAGCATAGCCAATGCCAGCTGGGATGACAGGTCGGAGTAGTAGTGGACAAGAGGAATTAGTATCCCCCACCTCCCAGCCTCCTGATGTGATTGTGGGGCCCAGGGTAGCAGCAAGGTAATCTGGTTTCTGGATGCACTCTGAGACTTAGGCATAGCCTTGATTTCTGACTTTGTCAATTCCCTTTCTCCTACCATAAGGAGAAATGAAAACACCACCAAATTTTATCATGAGAGTTTGCAACTAACATACAGTTTGGATTCTCAAACTTGGGCCCAGGAACAACAACAGCATCAACATCTCTTGGTCGCTTGTTACAAATGCAAACCTCAACTCCCATTCAGACCTGTTGTTAGATGCCGTTGAGTTGGTTCCAACTCATAGTGACCTTTTGTACAACAGAACCCGGTCCTGCGCCATCCTCACAATCTTTGTTATGCTTGAGCCCATTGCCTCTGCCACTGTGTCCGTCCATCTCAGTGGAGGTCTTCCTCTGTTTTGCTGACCCTCCACTTTACCAAGCATGATGTTCTTCCCCACGAACTGGTCCCTCCTGATAATATGTCCTCAGGATGAGAGAAGTCTGGCTCTCTTGGCTCTGGCTGTGCTTCTTCCAGTACAAATTTCTTTGTTCTTCTGGAGCTCCATGGACCTTTTAATATTCTTCTTCAACTCTGGAACCCAAATGCATCAGTTCTTCTCATGTTTTCCTTATACACTGTCCAATTTTCACATGCATATGAAGAAGTCCTGGTATGGAGCTGTGGGTTAATGCACTGGGCTGCAAAGTCGATGTGAACTGCAAGGTCGGCAGTTCAAGCTCACCAGTTGTTCCTTGGAAACCCTATACAGGGTCACTATGGGTCAGAACCAATTTGATGGCACTTAACAACAACAATTGTTGTTGTTGTTAAGTGCCATTGAGTCGGGTCCGACCCATAGCGACCCTGTACAGGGTTTCCAAGGGTGTAAATCTTTACGGGAGTAGAAAGCCTCATCTTTCTCCCGCGGAGCGGCTGGTAGTTTCGAACCACTGACCTTAAGGTTTGCAGCCCGATTCGTAACCACTACGCTACCAGAGCTCCTTAACAATAAGGCTACTGAAAATACCATGGCTTGGGGCAGACACACATTAGTCCTCAAACTGACATCTTTGCTCTTGAACTCTTTGAAGAGGACTTCAGATTTGGGTAATGCAATATATTGTTTGACTTCTTGACTGCTGCTTCCATGAGAGTTGATTGTGGATACAAACAAAATGAAGTCTTTGACAACTTCGATCTTTTCTCCATTTATCATAATGTTATTTATTGGCCCAGTGGTGAGGATTTTATTTTCTTTACATTGAGGTGCAACCCATCCAGACCTAAAGAATCAGAAATTCTCGGGGTGAGGCCTTCTGAGTGATGCTGAGGTACTCTAGAGAGTATGGGAACCACTGTTACCCTGAGTCACCTTAAGTATCCCAAAGTGTCAAAATAGGAGTTTGTAGCTGATGAAAAGGATGGTGTTCAAATATGAATCTCAAAGAATAATAGTAAATCAGGCCAGCTAGGTTGATTCCTGGATTCCTGGTGTGATGCTATAGAATAAGCACTGGACTGCTAACCACAAGGTTGGTGTTTCAAGTCTGCCAGCTGCTCACTGAAAATCCTCTACGGGGTCATTATGAGTCAGATTCAGCTCTACAGTACTGCAGGTTGAGTGATAGTTTTGCTTTATATAAAATAAATACAGAAATACTAAGGAGAAGATTTTAACTCGTTGCTAAAAGTCCGGGTGATTGTCTTCTGAGAAGAAAATCCAACTCATGACCACCCTGTTTAGGGTTTCCGAGGAACAGCTGGTGGGTTTGAACTGCCAACCTCGTGGTTAGTAGTCCAGGGATTATCCTATAGCACCAAATGTCCCAATAAATAAAAGGACGCTAGTTCTCTACAATTTATCCCTGATAAACTTTCCTTCTTTATTTCAGTCTATGTCTTTTGAAGCTCATAATCTCACAGTCCCAGCGATCAGATGGCTTGGCCTTCTCCCTTCTGATATTAAAAGGTTAGATGATTTAGCTGATTGAGGATATTTTAAATGACGACCCATTATATTGTGTGACAGTAAAGCCTGAAACGCCACCACAAAGGAAAACTCGCAGCGATTTTCTTGCAGATGTCCACACAAACTCAAATCACATCATTGTTACTGAATCCATCAGTGCTTCTATTTCAATCACTAAACAACTTAACAAAACTGGTCAACTGAATTTCCAGCCAGCCAGGAAACATTTTTGTTTTACTGTTTATATGGTTTAAACATGTTGTAAATTTTTTTGATAATAAGAAGGTATAATTACTAATAAATGATATTTTTACATCATTTGCCATCATATGTTCTATAAATCATTCTGTGTATGAATCAATTATTATATAAATTTAAAGTTTTTATTTCATAGAACATATCTCATTTTACATTACGGAACACATGGGAGCTAAAAGTCTGACAAATTTAATATGTGTGTTCATTATAGAAGAATATCATTAAGTAACAAGATCTAAATAACTGCTGTCTGTACCCTTTTAGATTATTTTCTGTGGGTAGCTAGAATTTTTCACAAATATGAGAACATGCTCTTCTATTATTTTGTAATCTGCTTTTTTCACTCACACAGTGGGATCACGTTTTCATGTAAACAAACACATTTCCCTTCTATGACTTCCAGTTAATGTCTCTGTCCCTGAGTGCCAGTGTGGGATACGTCAGTGTTTTGAGCTAGTCCCTCATAGTCAGACATAGGTGGTTTCCAAACCCCTGTTCTCAAAGTTAGTGCTTTGATGGCGCTCTTGTAACCACATCTCTGCCTACATCTTTAATTAGTCTCCCAGGCTAAATTCCCAGACACATTTCTGGGTCAAAGGGTGTTTACATTTGTAAGACTCTGCCCTCATGTGGAGAGGTTAAGTATTTGCTTCTCCAAAGAGGCACCCTAGCTTCTTTTTCAGCTTTGATAGAGTGATATTTTTTAAAATGTCACCTAGCTGTATTAGTTGGCTAATGAGAGTGAACTTAGAAATGTTTCTGGGATTTCTTGAAGTAGTGGGCAGCCCTTGGGCACAGGTTCTTGCTTCCTACACATGGAAGATGAACAGGTTTTGGGTAGTCAGCCTCCTCTTAAAAAACAAGGGTACAAGAGAAAATGTGCTATTTTAATATTTATGCTCTAGGGAATCAAAGCTTGGATCAATGTAGTGGGCTTGTTTGTCTTGGTGTAACCCCCCAGGGTCACCTCTTTGTAAGAAGACTGTTTCTAAAGCAAAGTCAGGGCAAATGGTCTCGTCATCTTACTTCAACTGTATCAAGGCCTTCAAAAGCCACTCCATGTAAGTGAACCGTCAAAGGGAGACAGGGTGCTTGCTGCACACACATGCCTCTAAGAGAAATCCCAGAGGGCTCCCTTTTGATCTACTTGTCCCCTCATCCAGGAACTGCCACTGGCAAATAGTCATCATTATGGGGACGCTGAAAAGGACAATTCAAAACAGGAGCTTCCCTGGAAAATCTGAGATTTGTGACTTCAAATAGGGGTCACCCAACCAACCCTGGACTTCTCACGTTCTATTTTCAAAACATATCCCAAGATTAAAATTACATTCTGCTAAAAAAATCTATATAATTTTCTCCAATTTAAAATTAGAGACCTGTGTGTAAGTGACACACACACACAGGAAGAATTAAGCAGGAGTATTCTACCTTCTCTGGCCCAGAATTCTCAATGAATTGCAAAGAATCTGGCCCTCAGTAGAAGCTGAAATCTCAGTGACTTGCAGCCACTGGCAGTGCACTCCAAGAGTGGAGGTTTTAGGGCTCTGGGAGGTCCCCCACAGCCAACCTTGTGTTGATGGTAGGCTGTCCTGGTGCTGATATGCCTGGACCCGGGGATTTGCACACTTTTCCCAGCTGTCATTTTTGAGTTTCTTTAATAAATACAGGTGTAATGGAAATGGCCTTCAGGTTAGAGGGGCACTTTGCTTTTACTGATGTTTTCTCATGCTATCATTTTCTTCTAGGTTAAATATACCTAAAAATACTTTAATTCCACTGACAAATCGGGACCAGATGAAACTTGACAGCATCCTGAAGAGACCTTATGTTGCCGGCCAACCGTTTTGGAGAAAAGAAGTACGTTTCTTTTTGAAATTAAAATGTTGTAAGTTAACTTCTTTTTACTTTAGTGGCAACTATGGCTTGGCACTGTGGGTCAATGAGTTGGACTGTAAAGTCAGTTTGAACCACAAGGTCGGCGGTTCAAGTTCACCAGCCACTCCTCGGAAAACCCAATACAGGGTCACTAAGGGTCGGAACCAACTTGAAGGTACTTAACAACAACATGACTCGGTAGGATAAGCACTGGACTTCTAACCACAAGGTTGGCAGTTCAAACCCACCAACTACTCTGCAGGAGAAAGATGAGACTTTCTGCTCCTGCAAAGGTTTACAACCCTCGGAAACCCTATGCAAGGTCACGATGAGCTGATGTCACTTTAACAACAACATACGAGTATTCTCATTCCTGATGCTTTTAGCTATAGCAGCTCTAGAATATTCTGAGTCTAGAGGCTATGACTGCCCATGACTTTGGAGACTAAAGTAAGCCTAGGTGTACCAAAACCCTGGAATGACTCTATTTTACTCTGTTCACAGATGGAAATCATGGCAGACACTAAAATGAAGGCAGAAATCCAAGCTTTGACGTACATAGCCTCTGATTATCTTTCCAGAGTGTACTTACCTAACAAATTAAAATTCGGAGGCTGGATATAAGAGCATACCAGAAGAACCTGTGGTCACCAGAAGCTTGTCTTTACTTTTGTTCTCATTGGTAGATACTAAAAAGAATGTATCTTTGTAATTCAGTGAAGATTAAATAAAATAATTATCCAGAAATACTTTTTTCTCAAAATAAATTCTATATTCTAATTTTAATAAGGTCTATATTTTATTCTTCTCTATAGATACTGATCTCTGTCCTATCATTTAAGTAAGTTATAAAAGAATATACATTTTTGACCTTTACATTTTATTTGAAAAAATTAAGATTTTTATCAATTATCATACAAACCTGCAAAAATGTTTTGTTTACTTTCTATAATATAACGAATGTTGAAGTATGAAGTAACTCATTAGTGATAAGATAATAATAGTAATTGAAAGTTGAGATTTAGAGTTCTTCTTAGGTATTATATTTCCCTTTTCCTTCAGAGCATTAGAGTCATACTCCATTTATTCACTTATCCAGTTAGTAAAATTTATTCAAAGTGTTGGGGTTGATGTGCTTTCCAATGTTTTGTTTTCTTTTGTTTCAGAATCTATTCCTTATCAATAATATTAATTCTCTAACATTTTTTTCCCCTCCGGGGTTTTAGTGGGTTATTGCCCCAGATCAATGCACTTGAATTCTTCTCAAGTCTAGGGTCATAGAATAAAGAATTTCAGTCTTCAAATTTACAGAAACCTCAACTTTTATTAGGTGCTTCTTTAATGGTAAAGATGTGATCTTTCCCCCAGTAAGCTGATCTTAATTTTTTCAGAGGTGAATTTTATTATTTCATTCTGTATTTTCATTAAAAACTTCTAACTGCATTGAAACTATAATTTCTTTTACAGGCTATCCCACAGTGTATCTGAGTTACTACGAACCGCATTTACAACAGTTTGTTTAGTTGTTGACATCTTTTTGTTAGTAATCCATACCACATTCATTGTTGCAGTATACAATCTGCTGATGTTAGCATTCTCAGATGTTCACTGCAGATGTTGAAAGATCTGATTTATAAAGATACTGATGATAAAGAGCAATAATAATGAACTTAAAAAAAAAGAAAAGATATTCTACTAACTTCAGAACCAACTCAAGAGGGAGTCTCCAGGACAGAATTGCAAAAATCTGGGACTACTTATATTTGAATTGTAAGGAAGAGCGTGTCTTCATAGGAAAAGTACAGAATCATTATGGATACCATTTCTGAGAAATTATATGTACCAAGCACGGCACACACAGTATCTTACTTACTTTTCCCAAGAGCCTTGTGAGGTTGGTGAACCATCCACCGTTTACAGGTGAGGACATTGGGGCTGGTACTTGTCTACAGCCACAGAGCCAGAACTTGGCAGAACGCAGACCAGGCAGGCTTAGCCACAGAATGTGTGAAGACCAGTGCAAACTGCAAAGGGAGGGCCCTGTGTACAAAAGCGATTAAGAATTTCAAAATGACAGCGAAGAATGAAACCAAGTACCAAGTATGGGACCTTTCTTAGCATGGAGCCCCATGTGACTTTATGGGTCACATCCTGGAAGCTGGCCCTGCTTAGGAGGCTGGAGTAAGGATTGTTGTTGTGTTTCTTGAGTGGATTCCGACTCATAGATTCTGTGTCAGAGTAGAAAGGTTCTGTAGGACTGACTTCCTTTTGTAGATTTCTGTCATTTTCATCAGGAAACAACCAATTTAAAAAGCATGAAAACTGACACAACAAAAAGACGTTTGGAGCATCCTGATTTTTTCCTGATTCACCCTCATAAGATAAAAGGTATCTGGGAAACGGAACCATCATCACTGGAAATGCTAAGTGATTTCAAAAGTCATGGTGTTGGGAAGAGACCACCCAGTGACTTCTACTAAGTTGGTAGAACACTCCAGAACTCCCATCCATGATGTCCTTAACAACAGCGTGTTCAGCGGCATCAAGAAGAACTAATGCTTTACAGAACACTGTTGTCGAGAAATGCACAGAAACAGTTGCTTCTCTTTGCTAAACGTGCTTCGGTGCACCATTAAAAGTGTGTATCCCCAGAAATGGCAGCATAGTGGGGTAAACATTAGGATGCTTGGTAACCAGAAAATCTGTCATTCAAACCCACCAGTCGCTCCATGGGAGAAAGGCCTGGGGTCTGCTTCCTTAAAGATGACAGTCTTAGAAGCCGATGGGGAAGTTGGATCCTGTTCCCTAGGGTTCCAGAGAGTCAGAATTTACTCCACAGAAGTGGGTGGGCAGCTCCAGGAAACAACCCCATAAAAACAAACCAAGGTCGCCCTCTGCTGGCAAAATCTCCATTATGCTCTGAATTTCGACCACTATTTGGCATGGACATTTCTTTAAATTATGTTCAGGTTCATCCCCTGGTTCAATGTTCAGCCAAGCAATAGATAGGTATACTGGGAGGACAGCACTAGTGACCATAGCGTGGTCAGCCATTCAAGATCAAAGGGGCAGCATTAACCAAGGACAGAATTCAGAAGGCTTGAAAAAAAGGAGGTATGGCACCCAGAAATGCAGGAGGGCGTGGGACCAGTGAGTTCTGCTGAGGGGACTGTCACTGAGCTGAAATGAAGCGTGGGACTTGTTGCACTTGACACTGACGCTCTGTAAACCTTCACTCAGTTCACAATAAAAAGTGAAAAATATATATTTTAAAAATAATAGCACCTCATTGATATGAATGGGCAACTTAGACACTGGCTACCTAAAACAGGGGGCTATAAAGGCACGAAGTGGCTGGCTTACAAGTTTTCATGAGGGAGTTTAGTTTCAGAGTGTGTGGGGAAAGGTAGAGTCACCACTGAATAGTTTTCATCCTGTCTAGATGGGTCTGGCGAAAAGAGATGGGGATGAGATTCTTATGAGTCAATGGTGAGTAATTGTTACCATGACTAATTGTGATTGTCACACAGTAGAGGTAGACGTTTTGTAACATAAAAGGGGGGGGGGGAGTAGCTAATCTTATAGTCCAGGAACAGAGGACCTTAGGACCATCAAGGAAGAAGAGCACGAGTGGAATGTGGGACTCTATCCAGAGAAGCAGCGACACCAGAGACTGAGGTAGAGATGGGGATATGGAGACGTGGAGAAAGGGAGCAGCTGAGGACTCTAGACTCATGGAAAGAGAAAGGCTGTGTCTTGGCGGCCAGGAGGCAGGCTTGCAGAATGTGCCCTTTGGTTGTTTAACTGATTATATATTCCTGAGTGTTTTTATGTATATCCCAAAATAACAACAACAACAAAACAGAGGGAATAGAAGCAAATACTATTGAATGGTGATGCATGGAGGGGATTATAATCATTGCAAAAATGAAATATGATAGGATGAGTGCAAAACTGATGTTCTCCCATGTACACTATCATTTCACACCAAAAAAAGCTTTTAAAAAATGAAAAAAGATAATAGCACCTCATTTGATACATTCAAGGAGCTCTGGTTACAAGTCAGGCTGCTAATTTCAAGGTCAGCAGTTCGAAACTACCAGCGGTTCTGCGGGAGAAAGAGGAGGCTTTCTGCTCCTGTAAAGATTTACAGCTTCAGAAATCCAATGCACAGTTGCTATGAGTCGGAACCAAGTCTACAGCACATAACCACAACCATATATATATTCAAGATTTTTTTCTTTAAGGACTAGGGTGGGGAAGTCTGAGAGACTGGTGAAAAGCCTAAGGATTTCCGTGTGACCCTGAGTACCTCCAGACAGGAGTTGGGTTTTGCATAAAGCAAGGGGTATGGTGGGCAAAGCCCACCTTCATCGCTCACTGCATCGAAAGGGTCACTGTGAATCCAGTTCCCGTCTGGAAGCAGATCCAGTCCTCATCTTTCCACTTCTCCATCCTGGTCACCAGCCACTCCAAGCAAGGCACTTTCTCTCGGCCAAGCCACCTGAGCGGTTTCAGAGCTCACAAGTTAAAAGGCCATTGTCCTTCAGAGTATCAAATAGGCAGACACCAACCCCTGCTGGCTCTTCTTCTATGGGTTCCATAATTCCTGAAACACCCCGTTGTTAAGTGCCATTGAGTGTGATTTCATAGCGACCCCATGTCTAACAGAAGGAAACATGCCCAGGCCTGTGCCAGCCTCACAATCAGTGCTGCTTGAGTCCATTGCTGCAGCCACTATGCCAATCCATCTAGTTGAGGGTTCGTCTTTTTTATTGAGTCCTGGTATGGCGCTGCAGGTTAATGGGCTGGACTGCAAGCTGGATTGAACCGCAAGGTTGGCAGTTCAAGCTCACCAGCTGCTCCTTAGAAACCCTATACAGGGTCATGATGAGTCAGAACCGACTTAACAGCATTTAACAACAACTTTACCAAGCATGATGTCCCTCTCCAGGGGCTGGTCTCTTTTGATAATGTCCAAAGTGCATTGTCACCACCATCCTTGCTTCGAAGGCCTTCTGGCTGCACTTCTTCCAAAACAGGTTTGTTCATTCCTCTGGCAGTCTGGCATGTTAATATTCATTGCCAGCACCATAACTCATTCTTCTGTGGTCTTCCTTACTCATTGTCCAGCTCTTGCATGTATACAAAGTGATTGGAAATACAATGGCTTGGGTCTGTCACACTTCAGTACTCAAAGTGACATCTTTGCCTTTTTTAAAAAAATCATTTTAAAGAGGGCTTCTGGAGCAGTCTGCCTGATGCAATGGTGTTATTGTACTGTTGAGTTGCTTGCAACTCATAGCAACCCTGTATAGGGTTTCCAAGGAGCAGCTGGTGGGTCTGAACTGCCGACCTTGTGGTTCAAAGTCCAGTGCTGATCTTACAGCGCCATACCAGAAGGTCATTTGATATGAGACAATCAGAAAGGATCCCATGTTGCTTTATTATAGCTACAAATGAAGGGAGACAACACAACCAGTAGAAAGCGAACTCTGGTCGTCCTCTGCTGTGAACCTAAAGGTTGGTGGTTAGAATCCACCAGCTTCTCCAGAAAAGAAGGGATCTGGCAACCTGCTCCAAATTTACAGGGGATAGCCTAGACAATCCTATGAGACGATGGT